AGGGAGAAACCAGAGAGAGTTTAACCACGCTGGGAACAAGCACAACAGGCCACACAGCATGACAAACTCAACCCTGAGCCCTGAGATTGCTAAAACTGCCCGAGGTAATAAACTCAATGTATGTTTCCACTTTGTTTACAACAAAAAAAATCATAGGGTAAAGTGTTAAAGTATTAAGTTTGTATATGATAAATTGCTACATAGGAAAATTTTAGTGAATGTTAAATAACTATATGTTGAGGCAGAGCCGAATATGTAGTATGTCAAATAAAAAACATTAAGCACAAATACATTAAGTTAAAATTATTTAAAATGTTGAATTGTTAAATTAAATATGAAAATGGAATGTAAAAATGGAAATGTTAAATTAAATACAAATAAGCTGATTTAAATACTGAGATAAATATAAATAGTTTTTTCTTTTTTAAGTGACTAACAGCACAACACCAAGTTACTTTTGAAAATGTTAAATGTGAAATATTAAGTTAAAATTTAAATATGGAAACATTAAGTTAAAAATAAAACCAATGTGTTATGTATGAATAAGTTGAGTTAAATACGAACACGAGTTAAAAACACTGAGTTAAATATAAATACATGAAGTGAAAAAAAATGATGACTACACTACATTTTAAAGGCAGTTATTTAAATATATGAAAACATTAAGTTAAATACAAATGAGTTGAGTTAAATATAAATGCAATAATCATGTTTAAAATACACCTCAGCATTTAAAAAGACAGTAACTGTTGTGTCTCAGCACTGGTGTGTGTTTGTGCAGGCATGCATGGGCCGATGCCCGTGTCTGAGCCAGCTGTAGTTACTGAAGCTGGCAGGACGTTAATGAGGAGGTCCTGAGGAGGGATGAGAGGAGAGTCTGGGCTGGAAAAGAAAAAGAACCGGATTAAAATTTCAGCACAACAGAGCCCTAAGAGAGAGAGAGAGAGAACAAGATAGATAGCTGGGACAACAGACACCTCGCGGGCCTGTGAGAAAGGCGGACATTCCACCGTGAACACGTCTGGGAGGGGAGAGATAGTGGGGGAGGGCAGTGGGGGAGGGGAAAAGAGAGATGGAAAGGGAGAGAGAGGTTGCATACAAACAGCGAAGCGAATTGAAGCATTCCATTATTACGCTCGACTGAACTCTGCTCCTCTTTTCACCCTGAACCCAAGACACACACACACACACAAACCAAATACACACTCTCTCTGCAGCTGATACCATCCTTCCTTCAGACTGAACTAAAAAAGAGAAAGAGGAAGGGGAGGGTGACACGACAGGAAGGGATATGAGAGACAAAAATAGGAATGATGTTACTGGACTGACTAGTTACAGACAAACTGAATGTTAAAAGGGTAAAAACTGGATTAAAAAACAAGCAGTAACTCTCCTATCCATCAAAAAAACATGACAGGTTGAGATTTCAATGATTAATATTAGTTTTCTCCGCCCACATGGCCTAGATTACATCAGCAGTTAAGAAAAGTCACTTTAGAGACTGAAAAAGTTGTACGGTTTAGATGGAAAAATAATGAAATCACACTTTTTTTTTCAGTAGCGTGCACCGAATTGTTATTAAATTCTATTTGATTCCACATTGAGATTAACACAGTTTTCAATATGTACGACCGCAAACATCTCCACAGTTCATATGGGTGACGATCGGTCAACATTATGGATTTTGTGTCCATACCTGCTGAACACCCAGAGCTAACCGCCCCGCATCAAAGGCTGAACAACTGCCCACCGAGGGACTTCCTTTCTCATTCGTTTATTACTGGAGCACTGCAGAGCATGACACATTCTTATGTTTATTTAACTATGCGATACACGCACACGAACATCTCGGCACCTTTCCTGTTGAGATCCATCTACTGTCACTGTGGATGAACTAAGCTAACGGAGCATGTAAAACCCTGAGGCCAGGAAAGGGCTCTTAGATGGGGGTGGGATTCCTTTATCCCCTATCAAAGACACATGCACAGAATCACGTAACTTCATTAAGTCAGCAATCACAACAACGGTGAAGTCTTGGATTATAGATGTTTCAGGCTTAGGCAAAATAGGATGTGTAAAGCATAAATCTATATATGTACAGTAAGCAGACCACAAAACACTGCCAACTACTAGTAGCAAAATAATTTAAATTTTGATTAAATGATGACAATATTTTGCTTTAACGCAATGTCAAAAAAAGTAATGTAAAAAAAAAGGAGGGGAATTTTAAATAAAGATATTTTTTAAATTTATATATATATATATATATATATATACACATACACAGTACATATATACATACATACATATACACGTTATATATATATATATATATATATATATATTTAAATATTAGATTTTATGTTATATAGACCCTTTTAGTGCCGACGTCACAATTACATCACAGCACTAGCTGGAGGCAAAACAAAAGGGAAAACTAGAGGCGGCCAATACAAACCAGTAGAGATTCGGCTATATAAGGACTTTAAAATATCATCTTGTTGTGATGTTAGGTGCCAGAATCGATGGAGTACAGGCTCCAATTTGAAATTTTATCGTATACCTGCTGCCAGACAAAAAAAACAATGACAGCTGTGGTTAAACACAATAAAACAAGCGGACTGGACAGAAACAATCATCAAAAATGCTCGCGTTTGTAGCACACACTTCTTATCAGAAAAGGCTAAATAAAGTATTGCATTTTGTTGTTATGGATTATGGTTTGTGTTACGCATCTAAAGAGTTCTTATGCATCTCACAACATGCAAGAGTAGCCTATGTCGTGTATGAAAATCTGTGTGCATGTGTGTAAAACAACAAACTGATGATTTATATGCTTAATCATCTGTAATTGCATATACATTGTGATTGATTGTGGAGAACTTGAATTGATTTTTAAGAACTTGGTAAGAAAGAATAATCAAATACAGAAACTTGAAAATTAGCTGTTTCTGGATTTCTTATTTCTAGAAAATATTCACATCTTTAAATGTACTGTATGTAAAGTAATGTAAAGGTACTGTAATGTCACTGAAAACTTACATCATTCACTGGAGGTATACTTTAAAATAACTATTTGGCCATTACATACATACATCTTCAAATAATATACCCATCACTTTAAATGTTTAACTTTTTTGGTATTTTGGCCCAGATCACTCACATATAGCTGTAAAAAATAGTTGCCTGCTGACATTGAAATATATACATCTTCATGACTAGATAGACACAGGTGAGTTTCTCTTTATTATACACTTTAAGTTTCTCTATCAGGTAGTCACTCAACCGGAGGGAATCCTGTCAGATTGTCCATCCATTGAGTGAGTGTGTACGGGTCGACCAGTCTGGTTTCTTCCGTTAAAGTTAACTTTTTCAAATAACAATCGCTGTCACGGACAAGTGAGTGACCTTACATATTCAGGTAACATCGGATTTTCTCCGGTCATTGTTAAAAAAACAAGCTAACAAAACTTCATAGCTAGCGTTAGTGAAGCGGTCAGGGGAATCTTTCTGCCTCCACCTAAGCTCCACCCACAGAAAAACGTCACGTTGTTTACTGACTGAAAAGGGGTCTATAGATAAATGAATAATAACAATTACAAGATATTTAAAATGCATGTAAATATTGGCTTTTATGACATTTTTATGCATTGTTATATAGAAAACACACACACACACACATATACTGTATATATGCAACGATAAGGGAAATCCCTTTAAAGTACAATAAACAGAGCATTAAATTCATTGCAACATCAACAATGTTGTTTCATTTCATATCAGCAGCAAAATCATAACCAATACATTTTGCAAATAATCAGTCACACTTCCTAGACAAAAAGTGTACTTAATAAAATAACAAGCTAAAAAAAGCTGGAGCACCAGGATGAGAAACAGGTAAGAGATCTAATGGAGTGGAAACGTTTTACCTGCCACACTCTCTGTAAGAGTCCCCGGGAGAGACGGGGCGGATTGGAAACAGGCCAATGTTACTGAATGTCACAATGCATTTTCTTGTGTGCGTGTGTGTCTTTCTTGTTTGCGTTTGTATGCACGTACACGGTCATATTCAAATGTTTGTGCTTAAGAATGACAGCGAGATTTATCTGTCGTTAGATCAGTGTCTGCAGTGATCGTGGAATCAGAAGCGTGTCTTTTCCTCAAATAAACCTTCCTTTGACCTTCCGGTTCGACCACAGCTCACCACAGAGGGTTTCTGTGCTAAAAAAGTGGCTTCTTTGACTTTAAATGTACAGTGCTGGGGGTCTGGCATGGCAGGGTTTGGTTTGGTTTAATCACAGGTAGTGTAATTATGTCACTCAGTGCAGAGAACTGCACCGAAACAGCACGCAGCGAGCGCGCTCTGCAACAGGATGCATTCCTCAGTGACAGCAAGACAAGGAAATTGCCACCTAAACCAGACCACATGACAGGGAGAGAAGAACGCACACATGCAGATGCATACAAACACACACGCATGACCCAGATCAAGGCAAACAGACATAACGCGCAAACAAAAAGCACGTATGCACATACTGATTCGCCCACCACCCACAAAATGTCAGCCAATGGTACGAATCCCTTCATTACAGGATTCTCAGAGAATCACTCAGAGCATCCGTATGAGATATGGAGATATGTGTCATCCATTATTCAGTCTCGTGTAGCCATAAAGCATCATGGGCGGGACGTGAGGACTATTGAATATCAATTTGTCCATGAATGAAGGTGTGATTTCACCACACTGTGTTTTCCCCCATAATCAAACCTGTCTGCAGTAGGATTATGAGCTGTTTTGGTGCGGATCAAAGGGGTGAGTGTGTTTGTCTGTGTCTGTACGGACACGCAAATGTGGGTAAATGTGTGTGCAAAGGTGAGACAAGCACAAAACACGCCTAGCAGACAGTAAAGAAAATACAGAAGGGGGAATCCGAGCCGTTTTGGCGCTAATCCACACTGTCTCCTGCTGCGTCCCATCAAAATGTAAACGGGTTACTCACTTTGCTGTGGATTCTTCATCGTATTTTGTCTTCAGTTCATGGAGTTCTGCCTGAGTTGCTTCAAGTGCTGTGGAACAAATGAAACGCATGTCAGTAAAACAGGCTTAAAGAATTCAACTACGTCAAATTACATGTATGTAATTGCAAAAACACCCAACTTGACGGTTAATGCATTAGCAAACCTGTTTGTAAGGACTGCGTTTTCATGTCCAAGTCTTCTGTCCTGCTGTCCTGGCTCTGCTGTGGCTGACTGCACAGACATCCAGAGGAGAATTAAAACAACTGTGCATTGACAATTAAAACAAATTTCCCAACATATATTAATGTACAGAGAGGATAGTCACGCAACACTACAGTACTGCAAATTGATATGAACATATGAATAATCACTAGATGCAGTGCATATAAATAAATGACGAGATGCAGTGATATTACATAACATTTTTAACATTTAATGCCTAAATATTTCTGATGTGGACATACAGCTATATTTTCAAAGTGAGCTTCCTATTTAACTGCCTACTGTTTTCAGTGTTAATTTACTATCATTAAGATACTATAATAGTTATTCAAATTTTAAATTAGTTTTTATTTTTATATGTTCCATTTTCCTTTACATTTTAGTTACAATTTTATGGTGTGTTAATTAGTTTTATATATTTAGTTAGTTATTAAATTTAGTTATATTTATTATTTCAGTTTTAGTTGTAGTTATCAAATCAAATGAAAATGGGAAATGTTGCCTTGGCAACTAGCTGAAATAAACTAAGTTATGAAGTTATTTTTTTTTTGTTATGAATTCAGAATTTAGTTACAAAGGCACCTATGATTCATGAAAAATGTAGTTTAAGAATTTATAAACATGAATTTAATGCTGAACACATCGATGATACCCAAACATTTTGCTTAAGAACTGAGAAAATCGTTTTTCAAGCTATGCGTTTATGTTCTTATGATTTCTCTGATGTCATTTCAAACTTACCTATGAAGCTCAAAACTGCTATCTAGGAAGGCAGCTTGCTAGTTTTTGAAGCACAGTCTATGAATTCATAATGCAATCAAGAAGACTAATGACGTATCGGATTTGTGCAACAGTCAGGCTAACCTCTCCTTGTCTGCATAGTTGTTAGGAAGGTTTTCCCCTTTGCTTTCCCTCTCTTCTCTTCCTGACCGGTCCTGGTTCTGATCGGGAGCTTCCTCTGTGTTCTTGGCATGGAGAGAATGCTCATACTGCTCCAGCTTCTCTTTAAGTGCTTTAATAGTGACTTCTGTAGAAGAGAAACAGAGAGAAGCATGAAAAAGACAGACAGTGGAGACCTACGGGTGTGTGGGGTTTAGGTTTTGTCTACACTGTGGGGCCCAATTGTCCCCTAAGGATAGTAAACCCTGAAATCGGCCAAGAGGAAAACCACTTAATAAACATACCAAATTATATCTTTAAGTAACAATTCACCCAAAAATGAAAAATCTGTCATCTCACCCTCACCCTCACCCTCAAGTCGTTCCAAAACCATATAGCTTTCTTTCTTCCATGGAACATAAAAGGAGCAATGAAGACTGTGGCAGTTACAATGAATGGGGACTGCAGCTTCAAAAGGACACAAACGCACCATAAAATAATCATAAAAGTAGTTCATATGACTATATTCCAATTCTTCTGGAGCCATGTGACAACTTTGTGTGAACAAAGCAAAATTTAAGTCATTTTTCACTGAAAATCAAACTCAATGATCCAATCAGTGCAGTTCTCGAGGTAACTGCCCACTTGAGGGAAGATTATCACTGAATAATGCCTTATATTTTTTCACCCAAAGCTACTGTATGACTTTGAATCCAGCACACAAGTCATATGAACCACTTTTATCATACATTATTGGTGCCTTTGACCTGAATTTTCACGGTTCAAAAATTATGCAATGTAATGGCATGGAAAAGAGCGACCAGCACATTCTTTGTAATTGCTTGCTTCCTGTTCTACAGCAGGAAGTCATTTGGGTTTGAAACGGTTCCTGGTGAGTAAACTGAATTTTCATTTAATGGTAAAATGTTAATTTAAAGAAAATGCTAAACTAAGAGGGTTACCATTTATGATTAGGGTGAGAGGATAGAAAATTTCATTAGCTCAGTATAAAAACAACTGAAGTCAAGGGAAAGTCCCCTCTGTGAAAGAAAAATGTGTGTTTACATGCCTACACACACACATCCACACAAAATATCCCTGATAGAGAGCTTTTTCCTCCTCTCTCCATCTCTTGCACAGCCATCTGCGGTGATTTAAACTCCAGCACTTCACCGCTGACACATAATCAATGAGCAGCAGTCCCACAAGAGCCCTTTTAGACCCTTAAATGCTAAACTGGACTTTAAACACTGTGAGACTGGAGGATCACTGACCTGAAAAAGATCAGCGTGTAGAATAGGAAGGATTACCTAGCGGACCGCTCAGACGGAAACACACCTGTGTGTGTGTACATGTACACATGTGTCTGCGACAGAGAGGTCGCATGTGGCGGTACCTATGGCTCGTGTGGGACAAATAAAATATTGCCGTTATTGAACTGCATCGATTAGGGGATTTCCACAGACCGTGAGGAAGCAATGCTCCCTCTTGTTTATGTTAAAAAAAGAAAAACCAGGAAACATGTCTGGCTGAAACAGCAGCGGGACAGAAATAGAGCTCAGATGACTACAGCTCATTTGAACAAAAATAGGGCCCCGTCTATGTGGGTACACATACGCTGCCTGCCAACATGACATATGCGTAACTCATTTAATTTGCTAGGTACAGATAAATCCTGTTTTACAAAAATTTTATTTCCATTATGTGACATCATTTTGAATGCAACAAAACATTCAGCAGGAAATAATGAAGTGATTTAATAAAACTTGATTTTATCCATCATGAATGGATTTTAAAAAGTAGGCTATGACCGAATTGTTAATAAAATGTAACAAAATAAACCTGTAAAAATAGTAATGGTGTGAAATATTATAACTAAATAATGACTTTTCTATTTTAATCTATTTTAAAACTTATTTCTGAAATAGCAAAGTTGAAATTTAATATTTAATATTATATATATATATATATATATATATATATATATATATGCTACCATTTAAAAGTTTGGGGTCAGTAAGATTAATATGAAATTGATAAAAAGTGATAGTATAGATATTTATCATGTTTCAAATATTTATAGATGTTGTTCATTGAACTTTATTCATCAAAGAATAATTTTTTTTTTATTATTATATAAATAATATATATATAAATATATAAATAAATATATATATATATATTCATATTTGTTTCATAGGTGATAGAAGTTCTACATATTTCACTTTGTGGAAAATGTGTTGTTGTTTTCCTTAATTTCAAGCAGCACTGAGAAGCTGGTGGTTACCTGGGTTTTTAACCTCTGCAATTTCACGTTCGTACTCTTGTTGTGTATCTTTGAGCCTCTGGTTTTCGGTCTCCAAGTCGTGCATCTTCCGAACAGTCACCTGGAGTTGCTGAGCTGCCTCCAGAGCAGAGACAGGATCTGAAACACACATCCACACACACACGGGTCAGAATATCGGGTGTCCCACGTTCAGAGCAGGTGAAAGGTTTTATTCAGTGAATGAGAGCTCAGTGTATGGAGATCAGTGTGGGCCAGTCTCTGTGCAGCTCGACTAAATACCTAAAAGTGTTTTTGCATTTTTGCGGATTGCCAACCGCAGCTAAAAATGTTAACTAGAAAAACAAACCAAGCCAAAACACGCCAATAAATCCACACTATGCTCCAGCACCTTGGTTTAACTTCTGCTCGGTTAAATCACGCTAACAAAAAAGAACCAAAAAGAACCATGGCGTTATCACTGATTTTATACAGATATCACGCAAGTACCATGTTTTCTGTGTACTTGTTTTATGGTAATCGTAATTTGCTGCTAGATTAGGGCACTGATTACACAATACGCACTCATTATTCACAAATAATTATTATTTATGAAGAAAAAATGAATTAAATCCTTAATCTCCTCCTTAATCCATCTCCTTTAAAAGTTACAATTAAAAAACACTGAATAATCTGAGACCTGTGGAACGACCACAATAAACTAAGGGCAGTAGAATTCTATGCAAAATAAACTTTTATATATATATATTTACAAAAATAGAAAAAATTTAAATATATATATTTAGTTTATATATTATAGTTTATATTCAAAATAGAAATAAATAATTTATTATTTCGTATAAAATTAATAATAAAAATTAAAATAATTAGGTGTACAACTATTATTTATTCAAATGCAAGCAACAATCAACAGCTGCAGAAATTTCAGGTTAGCAGGTTGTAAATTATACTAATTCATATTTGCCAGGGTGTTCATTTGTTGCTTTCATAAAGGAAAGGCGATGTTAAGTGAAATGCAGCGGTGGTGAGGGACCAGTGCCAACCCTCCGCACTGAAGGACTAAGACATTCTGACACACACACACACATGCTTTTTCATCACTGACTGTCCCCCTCAAATTCTAATTGCTATATGACTAATTATGGCCCTGTTCCCGTTGATTTTCCTTAATGAGACAGCCAAGTTAATTATGTAATCAAACTATTTTATTAGCCCCTGCGGAATATGAGAGTGAAAGAGAGAGAGAGTGTGAGAGTACAATCGGAGAACGAAAAGATGACAGAGAAGAATGCAAAATAAAACATTTCATTCCTGTACACGTTGTACATGAAGCTACAGTCGAGATCGCAGTTTTCGGCGCACATCCCTCCCCCTCTCTGTATTCTCATCTGAAGGTACAGGAAATGCTGATGGGGTGTGTTATGTGTGATGTGCATGTGTGGTGCGTGAGAGTGTGTCATATCTAAAAACTACAAGAGGAAGTCTGAATGAAATGCTGTCATGGTGTGTTCCCTTTTGTAGCCGTGGCAACTGCCATTTCAGCTCAACTCGGCTTGACGGGCGGCCATGCATGTCTGTCGCTCAATTCTGAACGTGACAGTCATGTGACTGAAATGACCAGCCAATTAAAATCTGATTTACACAGGCACATCAATTTGGATGCGTGTCATTTGATGTACAACACAATTAGGTTGGTGCCTGAAACTAAACTGGAGTTAAGTGCTGGGCAGCCTCACTGAAAGAAGCTATAGCGGACAAGTGGGAACGTTTAGATGCTTTAAAATCTATTATAGTACAGATATAACATCTATGAGACGCATTCAGCCTCTAAAAAGCAAAAACATATGAAAAAAAACATTAAAATAATCCTAAAGTTGAACCCTAAATTGAAAGCGACAGCTGTGTTTAAATGCAGGAGTGAATCCTCTAAATTACTGTTACAGTGTGAACAGAAAACTGGAGTCACTCCTGAATTCACAATGGCTGCATAGCAATGTTTTGACATCTTGTGGGTGTAAACAAGAAACACATTTTATCTCACAGTTATACAGACCGTACACAGTATATTTTTCATGAGTCTGAACAGAATATATATATACCAAAATATAGTTACCACACTAAAATATATTAAAAATAAATGTAAAATAATAAATGTAAATAAAAAATTATGAATTAAAATGCAGTCCTGTCTCGGTTATTTTTTCCATGGGCTTTGAATGAGTCTCATCCAATCAGAGTTCAGAAACAATATTAACAATGGATTTTATAAAGAGTATATCAGTCTTGTGAAGAAGTTAAATGTTGGCATTAAGTTGCCTGAAACACTTCCTAACACACAACACAATGCTCACACACAAACAGGCCTACACAGTGTACCAGAGTAACTATCACAAGATAATTTGTCAAGCTGTGATCACATTCGCAGACACATAGACAGGACTAAACAAGCTCCAGATTTCACAGATAGAAACAGACATTCCCAGACTAGACCTCCCACTCCAACATCCTGCAACACACACATACAGTTCCCTCTCAAATACACAACACGCACATATAAAAAGGTAGTCAAATGCACTTGCGCACACTTCCAGACACACAGACACACCATTGAGCTGGCCCGGGATCTCCAGACCGCAGCACTGTGATAATTTAGGGATGTATTAAGTAGTTGTGCAGTCAGACAGTCCAACCTGCTCCAACAGGCCCAGGCGGCACTGTCTGTCTGTCTGCCTGCCTCCCTGTCGCTCAGCAGATGTGGGCGGAGCTACACAGCTAGATTCGTGTGTGTGTGTGTGTGTATCTGCAGGGAGGTCTGAAGGTTTCCCAAGCTAAAGTTTAGTTCAGCCAGAAGTCGTCTCTCTCAACACACTCCATCGCACTTGCTTAACGGGGGTTTGATACATTATCTGCACTTTCTTGTGGTGAACTTTCAGTTTGAAGCACAACTCTATCGAGCGGCTGAGCTAAAGATGTTTCGAGATGTCACATGAACCTTAACGGCACCATTAACTTATTATAGATCAGTGCATCAGAACATTACCATATAAAAACTGAGGATCCGGGGGCCATTATCTCACTGTTAGAAAGCCAATTCGGAAGATTAAAAGGTGTTTGTGGGGCAATGAATGCGGATTTTATTAGAATCCAAGTTCCTCCGTGTGTGGGGTTTGGAACGAAGTGGGTCTCTAAAGCCGTAGAAGTCATTAAGACGGCCTGTGCGCGTGCATGGGTGTGTTTTAGACACTAGAGACGGAGGTCTCATAAATATGACTGATGTGTTTACAGTATTCTCGTCTCAGTGAAACACTACAGCAGTGTGTGTGAGTGCATTTGTGTGTGTGTGCGTGTGTGAGCAGCCAGCTCAGAGCGAGCCGAGACATACCTGGGACATCGATTAATCTCTTGTACACGCTGAGGAAAGCAGCCTCTGATTCTTTACTTCTTTTACTCAAGGCGTCGATCTGAAACAATGAGGGAAAAAACACAATAACTGAATTGCGTGTGCTTGGAACTGCAGGCTTGGTAACTGCATTAGCAACCAGGTTGAAATTTGCATACATTAGCAGCAATGACGAGTCCATTAAAGATGGCCATATGGAAAACAGCCTAGAAAAAGAGATTTCGAACTCACACGCGCACATTACGTGCATCACTTACCACCTATTCGACCTAAATAAAACAGCTAAGTGTACATAACCGTGACCCTTTTCATTCACACATGGTAAATCATTTATGTTTTGACGCGTGCGATATTTTTCCAAGAGCTGGGTCGAGGCATTTTGGGGGCAAGCTTCAGGTGTATACGCTCGGGCCGTTTCTGGTTCGCTTTATATAGAAGGTAATTATCAGGTATAAATCCAAATCCCTGTGAGCATGAGATGACAGAAACGGGTAATGAGGGACTCTGATAATGAGAAGAACTTTTGGCCTTAATATAGAGCACCGCAGACGCGTATGTATGGGCAAATTACATACTGTATCTGGGTTACAGCTCCCACAGCAAGGAGAGGCCTTCATCATTTCCTGAAGATAGATGATTTTCAGAATAGTGGCCGCAGTCACTGAGGTGCCGCCCACTAACTTAATCTAACTGTCAATTTGTAGAAAGATGCATGATCACGGTCATATAACAGATGTCAACAGAAGAAGGCATTGCAGATTAAAAATATTCTTAATATTTAACAAAAAAAGTTCCTGCTTAAAGAAATTAAACATTTTCAGATGTTTCTTGCCGGAAAACATCTGGATCGGCCCAGGCAGGGCCAAGTTCTGCAGCCCTCTTGCAGATGGAGCAATTAAACTTGCTTCTCTTACTCTCTCTCACTCGGCACGGGTCCACGTCTACCCCTGAAATCCAGCAGGAACCAATGTCAATTTTTAAACTCTCAGAGCTCTGAACCAGACAGAGCACAGAGGAGGTTAAGAGACTGTAAGGCTGCCTAGAAGCAGGCAGAAGCGGCGTGCGTGACTTTGCAGATACCGTCAACAGCTCTGCATAGATTATCTGCTCTTCTCCTACTCTGCTACCAGCTCAATCTGACGGCCTGAGCATCTGGCATCATCATGCTGCGGGACATCCACACAAAGTCATGCAAAGAGCCTCACAGACATTAGACCCTTCAAATATACACATACAAACGACCACATATCAGGGCTAGTTGTCATGCACGAAAAGTTGTCACAAAAGTTACACTATCTTTTCTTTTTGGAAAGAAATTATTACTTTTATTCAGCAAGGATGCATTAAATTGATCAAAAGTGACAGTATAGAACATTCTGAAAAATCAATCCTAAAAAACAATCAGTTTCCATAAAAAGATTAAGAAACACAACTGTTTTCAGTATTGATAATAAAAAATGTTTCTTGAACAACAAATCGGCATATTAGAATGATTTCTGAAAAATCTACACTAAAGACTGTAATAATGGCTGCTGAAAATTCAGCTTTGCCAACACAGGAATAAATTACATTTATAATATAGTCAAACAGAAATTAGTTATTTTAAATTTAATAATATTTCACAATATTTAATGTATTATTGATCAAATGCAGCCTTAAGCATAAGATTTTTTTTTTCAAAAACATAAAAAAACTACTTTTGAACTTTTTTTTTAACCTGAGAAACATTAAGTAAAAAGTGTGACACCTAGCCCCAGTTTCCCCTACATTACATTTCACACCAAACACACATGTACACACACAAACACAGTCAGTTCTGCCTCTTTGAACCATACAACACACAGACTATCTGGTGGCATCAAAAGCATGCCAGTTTAAACAGCATTATTCCCTGACGGTCCAGCCGGAACAGGGACTGAGGAGGGTGGGGGAAACGGTTATAAATAGCTCTCGTTTCTGTGGGGGAGCACAGACTTGGCACTGCTGATAGCAGAGTTAGAAAACTCCATCAGTTCTACTGACCTGCATCGCCCTCCAAACAGACGACCAGACTTCAAACATATTTGACCCTTGAGTTTCTTTTAGTTCTGTTTTTGTCTCATTTGGCCTCTTTTGGTAGACTTGGAGTGACAGGAAATTATTAAGGAGGGAAAGTAGTGGTGCACACTACAGATTCAAACCTACATCACCCACATTAGCACCAAGGCTAAACGTGTCAGAAGAACATGCATCCAAAAAGAGATTGCTAGATGATTACCTACATAAACAGATTCACAACCTACACACATACACTTTAACTTTGTTTGCCTGCATATATAGACAGTTTAATGATCTCAGATTCATCCATCATTGGATCCAAACTCATTTATCTGAGCTGCCACTAACCTTGTCTCTCCTCAGCACTTGGCCATGTTGAGCCTCTGCAGACTCCGGCCCGCTAAAATTAGTGCACAATTACGTCAAATCAATACTGACTTCCAAATCTGTAGAACTTCCATGCCACTCCGTAAACGGCTGCCAGAGTGATTAGCTCTCTTCACAGAGATCTTTGCTGGCGGGTCAACTTACTCTCTCCCTCTCCGTCTCGTACTCTTTCTTTCAGAATGTTGAATTTTCCACTTTGTAATGAAGATTATTTATTATCAAAATGAAGCTTGTGATAAGAAGCTGAATGCGGGCAAATCTGGAAAAAGTGGTCTCTCATCAAATTGAAAATTTGAGGGAAACAAAGTTAATGTTATAATAAAAAGAATAAAAATAAAATAAAATAAGCACATGACCAATGGCTAGAGCAAGGACCACAGCAGAGTAAATTAACATCTAACAAAATGAACAAAACAAAAATAAGCAATGCTATATAGGACTTTTTTTCTTTGTTCATGTTCTTATCTCAAACAGGGCACCAAGTGAGCAAGGAACCAAACCAAACCAAAACAAAACAAAAAACAAAACAAACAAAACAAATAGATGACTGACTATACCACTTAAATCTTTTTCTTTTTTGTCTCCTTTGGTAATGTCTTATCTCGCGTAGGGTGAGCCAGCACCACCTCCGGTACCATCACCAAAATTGAAAAAACATTTGAGTTTAGAGACTCTAGTCTTCTTGAACATCTGTAACATCTGGCTTTGCCTCTGGGGCAGAAGTATAAATGAGCAAAAACTCGTACAATTAAGTACAGTGACCCCCCCTCACCCCTCGTCTCTGATTTACACACACATTCATGTGCAACCCCAAACAGGGCCCCAGCCGCGTGCTATGTACAGCTCCCTATTGTACTCTCATTTCCTGACAGGAAAAGAGGAGGCTCTCGCTCTCTCTAACAAAAAAATTACATGTGGCAAGGACTCTGCACTGACCCACAAGATCAGTGTCAGTCTGACTCAAACGTGCTATTTTAACAAACCCACCGTTACAGGAAAACGGAAGATAGAAATTAAACTGAAAAAATCATTCACCCATTGCAAACGGCTGTATTCATTGGTCTGTCTGCCATTATGAATTATATAAGTGCTCTATCTTTTTTGTTTAAATTTGGTGCTGTAAAATTGAAGTCTCTTCATCTATTTTAAGATTTAATGAACGGTCAGACTGACAAGACAAAACACAAGCGATCCCATCCCTCCCGCCAATTATCGTAAAAAAAGCTGACGTCTGAGAAAAATGCCCGAAAAATAGTACATTTCTGGTCGGAGCAGTCAGGCTGTTTTTGTCAAGGTCAGGCACTGTCAATAAGGAAAATATTTCATGACGAAAAATAACAGGTGGTTTGAAACGATTTCACAGTTAGAATGGTGGGATGAGGATTTATTTTTAACCGAGCAGTGATTTGAAGTGGGGCGACTACCTCCGTTAATGACAGGCTAGTGTTCGAGAACACAGCTCCGAAACCACAATGAGCTATAATGGAGCAGTTAGCCAGCAGAACTGGCTCATGAGAGGAGAACAGGGAGCCACTACTCACAGCGCTCACTTCATCAAAGTTACATGCGGCATGGAAGAGCCGCGTCTCGCTGCGCTTCGAGCCCCCTCGACAGCCTCTTAATGCAAGGTGCTAGTGTTCGAGAACACAGCTCCGAAACCCACAATGAGCTATAATGGAGCAGTTAGCCAGCAGAACTGGCTCATGAGAGGAGAACAGGGAGCCACTACTCACAGCGCTCACTTCATCAAAGTTACATGCGGCATGGAAGAGCCTCGCTGCGCTTCGAGCCCCCTCGACAGCCTCTTAATGCAAGGTGCTGCTGAAGCCCGTCAAACGCTGCATTACATATACAGAAATATACTTTAACAGATAGTGGAAGTGTTTTTGAGGTCAAAGGAAAGGAAAATTGACACATACTTCTCACTTTCCTTCTCTTTTATTATTTCTGGACTAATCTGCCACTTTATTAGACAGAATAGCAAATGAGAAGCAGAAAATTATTGAGGGAAAAAGATAATTGAATTTCCACTACAATATATAAATATATATATATATATATATATATATATATATAACTCTCTCCCTCTCCGTCTCGTACTCTTTCTTTCAGAATGTTGAATTTTCCACTTTGTAATGAAGATTATTTATTATCAAAATGAAGCTTGTGATAAGAAGCTGAATGCGGGCAAATCTGGAAAAAGTGGTCTCTCATCAAATTGAAAATTTGAGGGAAACAAAGTTAATGTTATAATAAAAAGAATAAAAATAAAATAAAATAAGCACATGACCAATGGCTAGAGCAAGGACCACAGCAGAGTAAATTAACATCTAACAAAATGAACAAAACAAAAATAAGCAATGCTATATAGGACTTTTTTTCTTTGTTCATGTTCTTATCTCAAACAGGGCACCAAGTGAGCAAGGAACCAAACCAAACCAAAACAAAACAAAAAACAAAACAAACAAAACAAATAGATGACTGACTATACCACTTAAATCTTTTTCTTTTTTGTCTCCTTTGGTAATGTCTTATCTCGCGTAGGGTGAGCCAGCACCACCTCCGGTACCATCACCAAAATTGAAAAAACATTTGAGTTTAGAGACTCTAGTCTTCTTGAACATCTGTAACATCTGGCTTTGCCTCTGGGGCAGAAGTATAAATGAGCAAAAACTCGTACAATTAAGTACAGTGACCCCCCCTCACCCCTCGTCTCTGATTTACACACACATTCATGTGCAACCCCAAACAGGGCCCCAGCCGCGTGCTATGTACAGCTCCCTATTGTACTCTCATTTCCTGACAGGAAAAGAGGAGGCTCTCGCTCTCTCGAATGAAAAAATGACATGTGGCAAGGACTTTGCATTGACCCACGAGATCAGCGTGGGTCTGACTCAAACGTACTATTTTAACAAACCCACCGTTACCGGAAAATGGAAGATAGAAATTAAACAGAAAAAAGCATTCACCCGTTGCAAACGGCTGTATTCATTGGTCTGTCTGCCATTATGAATTATATAAGTGCTCTATCTTTTTTGTTTAAATTTGGTGCTGTAAAATTGAAGTCTCTTCATCTATTTTAAGATTTAATGAACGGTCAGACTGACAAGACAAAACACAAGCGATCCCATCCCTCCCGCCAATTATCGTAAAAAAAGCTGACGTCTGAGAAAAATGCCCGAAAAATAGTACATTTCTGCTCAGAGCAGTCAGGCTGTTTTTGTCAAGGTCAGGCAGTGTCAATAAGGAAAATATTTCACGACAAAAAATAATAGACGGTTTGAAACGATTTCGCTGTTGGAGTGGTGGGATGGGGATTTATTTTTAACCGAGCAGTGATTTGAAGTGGGGCGACTACCTCCGTTAATGACAGGCTAGTGTTCGAGAACACAGCTCCGAAACCACAATGAGCTATAATGGAGCAGTTAGCCAGCAGAACTGGCTCATGAGAGGAGAACAGGGAGCCACTACTCACAGCGCTCACTTCATCAAAGTTACATGCGGCATGGAAGAGTCTCGCTGCGCTTCGAGCCCCCTCGACAGCCTCTTAATGCAAGGTGCTGCTGAAGCCCGTCAAACGCTGCATTACATATACAGAAATATACTTTAACAGATAGTGGAAGTGTTTTTGAGGTCAAAGGAAAGGAAAATTGACACATACTTCTCACTTTCCTTCTCTTTTATTATTTCTGGACTAATCTGCCACTTTATTAGACAGAATAGCAAATGAGAAGCAGAAAATTATTGAGGGAAAAAGATAATTGAATTTCCACTACAATATATAAATATATATATATATATATATATATATATATATA